CCCCCTTTACAACCCCCCCCCCCCCCAACTCATAAAAAATTATTAGTGTTCCAGTTCAAGTATCCAAAACCACCCGAAGCTACCTCCTTAAGTAGTGTTCAGCACTTTTGCTGTGCTACAGTGACCTCACACGCTCAGACATAGCAGCAGGCGAGGGACTTCACCCCGAGGGCCGCTGCTAGGGGCAGGGCGAGTCGGGGATCCCCGTTGAGGGCCAACAGACCATCCAACAGAACTGCTTTCTTTTAAGAAAATGCTAGAATAGCTTGAATTAACAAAACTAGGGTAACCCTCCCACACACGGGGTCTGCCTGCTCTGCTGCACCCCGATCAGAGACCCGTTGGATGGTGCCACCAACTGGGGCATGTGGGATTATCTACCCCATTCTCTGCCGTGTCGAGCTCTAATAAATGGTATTTTAAATGCTATTTTACAGGGTGCTGTTCTTACTGGGATCCTACCAGCCCAGCACCGCCCAGGGCAATGCGGTTGGCACCGCCAGCAGTTCCAGCAAGAAATCCCTTTGGAGGAAAGGCTGGTGAGGAGACGGGGTGCCCGGCCGGCCCCACACCTGGCTCACCTTCTGGCCCTATTCCCTGGCAGATTGGGAAAATAAGGATGAATAATTTGAAGGCCTCATCCCAGCTGAAGTATTGCCTTGTCTCAAGAAGTATGGGGAAGGGAAAGCAATGGGCGAGGGAAGTCGGTGCTGTTTTGTTATTAACAGGTTTGAAATGGGGATGGGGATGGTTAGAGCTGAACCGAGCAGCCCCCCCAAACAGCAGGGTGGGCATGTGGGGGTGCACGGGGCAGCCAGGGACGGGCAGCGCCGAGAGCCAGCTGCCTGCTGGGGTGGGAAGCGTGAGGAACCAGCACGTCCTGGTGCAAACCAGGGCCCTGGCTGTGCAGCCTCAACTCCCGCCCAGGGCCCCAGACCCACACACAAAGCAGAGCGTGGCAGAAGAGCCAGCAAGGAGCCGCCTTTCATTGCAGGGCGGAAGGCGTACGCTGGCTACGGGAGATTAAGGTGTCACAGGTATCTCTAATCTTCTAATATCTCTCTGTACTTTCATTTTGCAGCCTCAATACTCTAGCAATTGATGTGTAATCTCAGAAGTTTCAAGAATCCAAGGATAAGGGATCACCTTTTCCAGGATGGTGTTTCTACCAGTACCCACCGGGACTGCCTGCCAGCGGCTTTGGAAGCTTCGCCCCTCTCCCTAATCTCTGACCAGACAGCAGTAGCAGATCCTTATCTTTTGGGGACAAAACTGGGGTGGGGAGGTTATGTGTTACTAGCACTTAACACAGATATTTATTAGTTCCAGGTGCCAAGGCCCCCTGGATCCTCCAGGCCCTGGAAGATGAGCCCTGAGCAGCACAGACCCTTCTGGCCACGCTTCTTCCCACACACACCATTAACACTTCTCTTAACTGGTCCCCAGCACAGTCCAGTTTACGCCTCCACCCCAGCCCAGTTCCCATTCCCCTCGTACTGTCAATGGCCTCACATCCAGACCTGCCCAGGCACGGCGCAGGGGTGAGTGACCTTGTCGTCTGCTTTTGCTCTGGAGAAGCAAATATCCACATTACTGCACAGCAAGTGGGTTTTTTCAAGTCTGATAATCCCTGGAAGAATCCACCTCTGCCAAGCGTGCTCCACCCCGGCAGCGCAAGGAGGAGTGGGATGGTCCGGCACCCTCCGCCCAGCCCACGGGCACCGTCCCTCCTGTGGCCCTTCTCTTCTCCCTGTGGCACGTAAGCAGCATAAAAATGAACGAACCGTAACAAAAAGGTAAGGTGGAGGAGGACAACAAAAATAAGGGAAGCCAAAGGGGCTGAGAATAGGCAGGAGCTGGCTGCGGGACCGGTACCTCTGGGACTCGGGGCAGGAGCACTCCTTTCTCCTGCAAGTCAGCTCAGAAATCCAGTTTTTACATTCCCCTGGAGTTAAACAGCTGCAAAACCTACGGAGAAAGTGTTGCTGCTTCTACTAAAATCTTACCAATCGCATCCTACTCCCTTCCCCAGCTGCGTTTCACTCAAGTGACAGAGGTTTGCTGCCGAGTTACAGGACTGCCCTGAAGACCTCAAACAAGGTTCAATACAATTACAGACGGTGGAATTAAAATGTTTTTACAATGAGGCTTTAGTTTCCCCCCCCCCAACCAACACCTTGTTTAAAGTTGCACACAAGAAGAACACTCGAAGTGCTGAATACGTGCTGCTCCCCGCCTGAGCTCCCTGCACCACCTTTACACACCAGTGTAAAGTAAATAAAAACTGCTCGATGCCAGCTCTGCCCCCTCCTACCTTCTCAATGTGCGACTTTGCAACCTTAATGCTTTTTTAGCAGGTTTTTACGTGCTTGAGTGTAACACAATATACATATCCCTCCCCCCAGAAATAACTACACCATATTAAAGAGTTTACAAATGTTCTGCTCGGTGTCACTGCTCTGTGAAAAATACGCTAGGTACGGGGTGCTCGAGAAGCAAGTTAGGTCAGAGGGGTCTCCTGCCACAGGGCCTTGGGTTGTCCTCTGCTCTCCACCCCGCGCCGGGTCCCAGCTGAGGCCACCTTGGCGTTATTCCTGAGCCTCCTTACGAGCCAGCTTATAAAGCTCCGTGGGCCCATCCACGTGGGTGATGGTGGTGGTGAGCTGAAGTTCTTCCCCGCTGTTTACTCCCAGGTCACCTGAGAAACAAAGTTATTTCATTAGCCCGGTCCCATAATAAAATATTTGACAATTAGAAAGCAAAAGGTCCGGGTTTTACTCCCTTGAGGCTTTCAGCAGCTACCTGTGCTACGGACGATGCAACATTTCTACAACAGCTTTTATTTAGTTACATAAATACCAGCATTTCGGCAAAGGATGGGTTTTGTACTACTGAAGGCTCCCGAGAGAGGAATCCAACAGCACTGCCGTTCTCCACTTGCCCAGATTTCCATTTTCTTCTTTCATCGTCCCTCCATTTGAGCTACGCAATTACAACTGGGCCGTACTAAACAGTACAAAAACCATCTAGAAGGCTTTAGACAGCCTTGGCTAAATACTCAAACCCTAACCGTTAATTAAAATGTCCGCTAGGAAAACCAAACCAGCATTTGCAAAACATTTCAAGGTGCTGAATAGGCACTTTGGCCCCCCCCAAAAATGCACAAAGGATGTCACCCCTTTTATACTGCTTTAGTCCCATGACAGCCTTCACATCATGTAGAGGCATTTACCGTTCGACTGGTCTTCGCCGTAGTTCTTGTGCGACGGCGCGTACAGGAACATCAGGGCGAAGACGTAGAGGTTCCACATCCCGTAGATGCCGGTGAAGAAGGCGCTGTTCACTTCTATCGTTATGTCCCCCCACTTCCAGTGGCCTTCGGTCACCTACCCGGGAGAAAGCAAGACACGCACAGGCTGGTCAGCAAGACCAAACTCTGTAAAAACACAGAAGTGAGCCCCTAAAGCACTAAACTTGGGAGTAAATTGGTAAGAACGGCATCAATTCAACAGGATTGAGTAAACGGAGCGTAACAGAATCGGTGATGGAGGAGTCAGTCTAGGATTCTCCTTTTTAGCCTCTGTCTGCAGGAGGAAAACGGTCCTTACAAAATGATTGCATCAGGATTTCCTTAACTTTGATTTATCATTCTTAAATGTGACAAAAACTCTCATATCCCGCGATACATCCCTGCTGTAACTGATGGGTTCAGCAAAGCTTGCCACGTAAAGGGCAGTACCTAGGAGACAACTAGTTACATCTGAAAACATTAGACTTCTATAAATAGACCTTTTATAGAAAGAAAACCAGCATGAATAACGCGAAAAGCTAATGGGCTGAACGCCTGCTTGCTGCTTCTGTCTTGAGAAGGGCCTAGGCTGACAGCATCAGCCTTAGACACAGAGATTTGTCAAGAGTTACGGAAATATCATCAATATTAATATTACTTGAAGCTACACAGACCGTTCATGCTGAAATGATGGCTTTCTGTGAAAGAAAAAGACGTAAGGGGGAAGGCTGAAAGCTCAACTGGCTTAAAAAGAGTAGCCGGGGCAAGACCGTTTGTGTCACACCCGTACGCAGCGATGGTCACTAACACTCGATAATGAACTGAATGCCAAGTGGTGTTCCTCAAACCATCGCTTCAGTCTAACAGATTTTCAAGAGGAGAATCATCTGCTGCTGTATTTGGCCTTGGGACACACCATGTACCCCAAGGCCTAAGGGGTGTGCTGGGTTTAAAAACGGCTCCTGCACCCCTAATTCTGTACTACTGGACTGGCGAGGCTGTACCCACGGCTCTCCTGAGGCCACAAGCTGCCTGGGCGTTGGAACAACAATGGATGCAAGCTTAAAAGTCACTTGGAAGAAACCATCAAAGTACCTCTAAGCAGTGCTAAAAGCTCATTTGTGCAGAGATGGCATCGTCACTCAGAATAAACAGGTATAGATGCTGCTGGGAACAGCAGGGTTGGCAAAGTCAGCCCAGGGGAGATCGACTTCTGTTAGTTCTCTGTGGGCATACAAAGCCACTGGATTCTTTCAGTGCGAACAGAACGTTTTTCCTCTTGCCGAGTTCTCAGAAATGAGTAAACCGTGTTGGCTGGTATTTCAAACAGCACAGCCCCAAAACCTTTACCGTGAGCCAAAGGCCTCTGCGAAGGCTTCAGCTTGAGCAAACTGATGGCAGCGCTTCAAATAAATGAAAACCAGTTCTTAAAAAGCAACTTATTATCAAACTTATAACAGGCGTGCCTTGTCTGAACAGCAAGTGAGGCAACATCCTCAGCAGGCAGGCAATCGGGGGCTGATTCTCAGAGGAAGCTGAGTTTTGTCACTCACCTGGCTCACGATGAAGAAGATGACTGTCATCGCTGCACAGGCCAGGGTAATGAGCATCAGGAACTTGAACCTAAATATCAGCCCCTGCTTAGAGACAAATGTCACTGGTCACATTAACAGAATCCACAAAAACCCATTTTTGTTTTTAGCATATGCAAGATACAAGCATAAAAAAAAAAAAGCTAAGAAAAAAAAAAAAGGGTCCAACCCACGAAACCCCAAAGCAAAACAACCTCCACCCACTCCTGCGCCGGCTTCACGACAGCCCATATTCTCCGCTCCCCACACGTCTGCATTCCTCCCGGATGCTCCGAGCGGGGTGTGCGTGTCTGGACAGCTCTGGCTTTCCATTACATTTGCTTTTTGCGACTGCTTTACCAAGAGTTAACGTGGAAGAGGAGGCAGGTCAGTGTAGGCCACGGGCTTCACGAGGAGCCGGCCTGAGAGCTCAGAGCTTTTGTAAAACAAACATCTGCAGGGCTCAGCAAGGCGAGTCGGGGTTTCTGCAGCGCGGGTACTGGGTCTGCCCCAGACTAATCCTCACCTCCACGCTCTGTCTGGGAGGAAACTGCAGCGATTCTCAACGCCGACGCTGCTTTTCACAACACAATGGAGATTATGAGACAAACGAAGCCTCGAGATCACTTGGTTGGCACCCTGACTGCACACCGTGCTTAGTTTCACTAGATTTACACTTTTACTTACAAATTTTTTTGGCTTTGTTTTTGTGTGTGTAATTTTTTTTTTAACCTGTTTCTGGAATTTTGGTGGAAATGTCGGTGTGTGCGTAATTACTCTGCCACACTGCGACAACAAATTACTATTAATTTAACTCTTCCAGATCAGATTCATGCTTGCCAGATGTTTGTACGTAGAGCACGGCTGTGGCAGCTCTACAATACGAGCTGAAGTCCTGTGCCTCTTGCTAAAGGGAAAAATGGAAAAAAAATGCTCAGTACCTTCTTTAAATTCTCTCAGGTCCAATTTTCTAGCTTTTTATGTGCATTCTGGATGGGTGCTAATGGACTTGTTTAAATCAGAAGCAACCATCATTTAATAGAACGACATCGGTGATAAATATTTATACACCCATGGAAACAACAGGCACTCTCAGCTTAAGCACTTAAAAGTGAGCTCCTTGTGTTTTGCAGCAGTCAGACAGCTAGGACAGAAACAACGTACAAAGTCACAGGCTCAAAATGGGGATAACGGGCTGAACATGTCGCATTTTGATCCTAGCGGGACAGTTTTCTCTCCTGCAACTTGGTTAGCAAAAGGCAACTCCAAAAATCTGAATTCACACCATGGAAAAACAGGGTGGTCTTCGCAATACTTTCCATTAAACACAATAATATTACAGGAGAAACAGGTATGGGGAACTGATGGGCTTACACCCCGAAGCAATTTAAAATGGTAATTTGGACAATTTTTTTCCATCTTCCAACACTGTTCAGTAAGCTGGGAAAAAGGAGAGACAGCTTAACCCCCCTCCTGAGGGTTTAAAATACTTCCTCGGACTAAAGACCCAAATAAAGAAGAAACTTCACAACAGCCAAACCAAAAGGCAGGCGGGGGATTGGAACAACACAAGACAGCTGGCAAAGAGCAGATCTCCCACTTCAGGACTGTACGGATAGAGAAGGTCTCAGTATAGACTTTAAGGTCAAAAATGCATTTTAAGAAGAAAAGAATGCGTGCAACAAGGAGGGACAGTACCTCGTAATGAAGGCGGCGAGCCTTGCTCATGGCTGGGAGGCTGGACTGCTTGCCACTGATGTTTCTGAACACTTGAAAGACCATGAAACACAGGAAGAGAAAATAGAGACACAAGCAGATTCCCGCAACGATAATAAAGGCCATCTGAGCAGCACAGGTTAAGAGAAAATGCTATGAGCTAAACAGAAATCATAGAAAACGTTATTCAGGCCATTCACTTGTTTTAGTATCAAGTCCTGCCAGTGAGAAAACGCGTGGCAATGCCGGCCCCGGCCGTGGCAGCAAACGGAGGGTGCAGAGCCGGTGGCATCGCAGGGCCGGGGGGAGCAGGGTGGGAGCTGCTGGAGCAGCACCAGCTCTGGGGTTACCATCGTAACACCCAAGATCTAAATCCCCTGTGCTTCCCCCAAAACCTCTAATATCTTGCGGAGAGGGTCAGTTCTCCCGTGACTTCCCCGGGCACAGCACTGGTCCCTGCCAGGACTGCTTCTTCCAAACAACACCAGCATCTCCTGCAGTGCCTGAGCTAAAAGGAGGGTGGGTTCCCCACAACCCCCGGGTATCTGGCAGGACGGGAACACCTCCCTCGCCTACTGACACAGACCGAGCTTGCTCTGAGCCGGGGGGGAAGGATACAGCCAGCTCGGTGCCAACTTCAGTGGTCCAGATGCTGTAGAAGGGGTTCTTCAGCTGCACTCCCCTGCAAAGAGAGAAAACGCAGAGCTGCGAGGGGCTCAGGGAGGAGACAAGGTGGGAAGTGTTTCTTTAGGGCCGTACGGGACACAGTCCTCTGCTGCGATGCGCCAGCCTGCCCAGCGCACTCACAGGAGCCTCTCCTGGCTCCAGGAGATGGGGCTGAGCATCCAGCCCCGGGAGGCGGCCGGGAGCCTCTGCGCGGGGCAGGCTGGCCCCGGGGGCAGCACACATGGGCTGGAGAGCGGCGCTGCACCCACCTCTCACACATGTCGAAGATGAAGAGGCAGAAGGAGCCAACAGCAATGGGTCCAACCTGCTTCCAGTACCCCGAGAGACGATTCCGCTCATTCTGGTCCTAATCAGAGGGTCAAGAGGTGAGGAGGAGGAAGGAAAAGCAGGTTAGCCTGAAGCCCTCTCTCCTGGCGCGAGTCCCCACAGCGTCATTTCCAACACTCGAGGGAGTTGCCAGGTACCTCTGCAAGCAGGGCTGGGAGCCACCTTCCCCTCCATGTCGTACCCACCATCATGTGCTCTCCGCAGAAGATGATCCAAAACGACAGGAGCATGGCGTAGAAAATACCTTGTCTAATGTCTCCGAAGAGCAACATCCAAGTCCAGTCAAATCCAATGGAAAACCACTCCACGGGGATGTTAATGAACGTCATGGAAATTCCCAGAGCAAAGATGACCCTGGGGAAGCAGAAACACCGTCTCTTTCCAGTTTGCAAGGACACGGAGCCCCAGAAACCAAAGCTGCTCATGAAGAGCAACAGAAGAAAATCTGGCGCTGTCTGGGCTGTGGTGGGGGGGTGTCACCTCCTGCCAGAGACACCCCTCTGAGCAGCCACGGGCAAGCGCAGCTGCTCGCTCTCCGTGGGTTTAATGGGAAAAAAAAAGAGAAGCTATGGAGGTCTCCTGCTCCCTCGGTGGAGGGAGGGGACAGGGGAGAGACCACCCCCGTTTCCTCAGAACACGGGCTCTGCCTTGGAGCAGCGACCACCTCGGTCAGGGTCCTCCTGCCCGGGGCTCACCTCGGCCAGCGTGCGAGTGCCTACTCACTTCTCCAGCAGGACAGGAGCGCGCGTCATCAGCGTGATCCGTCTCCAGTACCAGACCATGATAATTAAAATGCTGGGGGTGAGGAAGGTCTTCATGGCAAACCACACTTTGGTAAAGCCTCCGTTTTGATGGATGCCCTGAGGAAAACCAAGGTGGAATGCAGCAGCTGTACAGGGTTTAACATCATTACTCTGTGCTTCTCCTCACGGGAGCTGACAGGAGAGGCGTGCACACGGCAGTACACATAAGCACGTCTAGATGCAACTACTCTTTGAAATTAGCTGTTTGTCCAACCCAGGAAAGGGAGCGGGTGCCTACTCAGCATCTGAGAGGGCTTCAGAAGTCTTGACAACACACACCAACACGCAGAGCTTCCACTGCGAGGTGGAGAGCAGTCAAGAGAGGGGCGCTCTGACACAGCGTGGAAAAAGCTGGCAGAATTGCTCTCAGACAAGTAACAAGATACTCACGAAGCTAAGTCACCACTGGTGGGAAAGGCATCGGCCAAATTAATGCATTTCTCCAGACACAGGCCCTCCCACCGCTGTCTGCAGCCACCACCACAGCCGGCTGGCTCACCGCTGCTCTGCGCGGGACGGCGGTGGGAGGTTTTCCAGCCGGGAGCACCCATGGCCACCACGCCTCGAGGGAGGGCAGGAGCAGGGACGGCTGCCAGCCATCCCAAACATCTGCATGGCCATGCTCCCCTCTGAACCCCGCTGCTCTGTTCCTCCTCAGCTCCCATCTGCAAGGGGCAGTGCTACAGGCTTGGGGAGGAGTGGCTGGAAAGCTGCCAGAGAGGGGCCCGGAGAGGCTGAGTGATGAACAGGAGCCAGCACTGTGCCCAGGGGGCCAAGGAGGCCAACGGCATCCTGGCTTGTGTCACCACTGGCGTGGCCAGCAGGGACAGGGAAGGGATCTGAGCCCTGGGCTTGGCACTGGGGAGGCCGCCCCTCAGTGAGGGGGTTCAGTTCTGGGCCCCTCACCCCAGAAAGGCCATTGAATGACTCGAGCGTGGCCAGAGAAGGGCAATGGAGCTGGGGCAGGGTCTGGAGCACAGGTCTGCTGGGGAGCGGCTGGGGGAACTGGGGGGGTTCAGTCTGGAGAAGAGGAGGCTGAGGGGAGACCTCCTGGCCCTCGGCAACTCCCTGCCAGGAGGGGGCAGAGAGGGGGGTTGAGTCTCTGGAGCCAAGGCCCCAGCGCCAGGCCCCAAGGGAATGGCCTCAAGCTGCCCAGGGCAGGGTCAGGCTGGCTCTGAGGAAGGATTTCTGTGCAGAAGGGGCTGTTGGGCGTTGGAATGGGCTGCCCAGGGCAGGGGGGAGTCCCCGGAATCCCTGGGGGGGTTGAAGAGTCGGGCTGAGCCAGCGCTGAGGGATCTGGGGGAGTTGGGAAGGGTCAGGGGGAGGCTCATGGGGGGGCTGGAGGAGCTTCAAAAGCTTTTCCAACCCAGATGATTCTGGGATTCTGTGGAGAATGTGTGCCCGAGGCACACTGCTGTGGGGAGGAGAGGACAGAGGGGAGCTCTCCGAGCTGTGGGAAGGCTCTGGAGGCGGTCACAGGGCAGTGCAGGAGGGTGGCAAGGCTTGGGGAGGGCTCCTCAAAAGAGAGCAGTCAAAGAGGACGTCCCTTGGGAAGGAGGGAAGTCACGTTTGCAGGCAGGTGCTACCCATGATGAAGAGCAGGACCTTGCTGTGGATCAAAGAGGAGATCAAGAAGGGAGCTGCAGCAGCCCCCGGGCAGACAGAAGCAAGACGGACACTTACCACGAGGCGGATATCCTTGATCTCCCCAATGCCCACGTTGATGCCCTTCCTCTCGTTGACGGGGAGACGGATGTTGATGAGGTAGTACTTGTGGGCCACGCTGCCTATCTCCATGAAGGGAAGGAAGTCACAGTCGTAGTGACGGCCTTCAGAGTCCAGGGTCTAGGAAGGGGCACAGAGCAGCAACACGGCGGTCAGCCTCGGACGGACCAGCACGCCTGCCACCAGTCTGTGCAAATCTGGAGAATCTCAATGATTTGGAGAAAGTTTTGCTCAAGTTTTTGATGGGTTTGGGTCATCAAGTCAATAGGGTTTGAACTCGAGCAGGTTTGTATTTCAGGCTCTTATATGCACTTAAAGTCGTGGGAGCCTTTCAAGATGAAATGGTACTTCAGGATCCAAACTTCCTCCCTCGGCAAGCACAACTAGAGCCAAAACAAAATATGCAACCTCTTCACACATATCTTTATGTGGAGTTTCTTAACTCCTGTTTTACCAGCAACACTCCCCTCTGCACCTGGTAGGTGTTTTCTGCCTATATGGGGCTGTATGGAAGTACAGGTGCTACCGGAGATGTAAGTGGGTTGCAGAAAGGGGCTGTGAAACTGGAGAACAAGACACGGAGCTGAAAAACATGGCACGGTGAAGAGACACCAGATTAATTTAAGCTACATGGATTACATTCTGCAGCACAGAAAAAACACCTTTATTTAAAAAGATGCTCTGCTCTCAACTGCTAGCTGTGCTCTCTGCACCTAAGCTTTGCAGATTGCATCATTAAGAAGCTATTTTAAGAAACTCTTGCCCTGCCTCTCCATGTTCTTTGAGTGCTGCTGTGTCCCTGGCGGGCTATCTCCATGCCACTCTTAAAGAACAAGGTTTTATCCATCACAAAAACATAAGGAAAGGTCCAAGTTCTCTTGAATGGTTTGGGGTGTACAGATTTCAAAGCATTTGAGTTCCAGACAACACCTCTGCAACTCCTCATACCTTTCCTTCCTTACAGTTCTAACTCTACCTCTGACTTCACCCCCTTCTCTTGCATCACCCAACAGAACCAACTGCACATGGAGCTCATCAGGTTTTCAAAGATTTTGAGCCAAGAGAAAGCTAGATGTTTGAAAGTTATGACAGAACAACTCAGAGCACCACGAAGGACAGGAAGAGGCCAACTCCCCCCTCGCTCCCACACCTCCCCACCTCCAGCGCCATCAAAACACCTTACTTTTGGTGAGCCAAAGGTGCATTTCAGCTTCCTGATCTCTACCGCGTGTGCTATTTCTTCCCAATCATCAAACATGTCATCGCGATACGCTAATGACACATCCAGGGTAATTTCTGCGTTTTCTTCTGCAAGAGTAAGGAGACATCAGGCTTGTTAGAGAGGAATGGTACAGAACATCAGAACCTCTAGACACTGAAAGGACCTCTGAGAGGCAGGCAGCTATGGAGGGGAATGGAAATTTTTGCATTCCAAGCAATACAGATCAAATTACCTTTTTCAAAACATTTATCTCCTTGCTAGTAGAGAAGAAAGAATTTTTACTGGTCATAACGGTCTGACATCTTTCTAACACATCATGACTTACAGCTTGTATTACGGTTGTGGGTGAAGAGCATTATTTATTCATATAGCATTAGAAACAATAATTCATATAAAACTGGAACTCAGACAGCTGCAGAGACAGAGAGTAAGCCAGGAAGCAATCCAGCAGCCTGTCCACCACGGGCTGGCAGAGGGACAATAAGACAGGCTTCTACAAAGACCTTCTGCAGGTAACACAAGGGTGTGCAATAGGTCCTTCCGTGTCAGGAAACAGCTACGTTGCATCATAGGATCTGCTTTAAATCAACATTGAAATAGCATTTAGTTACAGAAAACCACGAAAAAAATATGAAGCATACAACTGTATATGGTTAAATTAATTCTGTAAAGGAGAAACCATGCAACTGATGGTTCAATTCAGACATGACAGCAGAAGTCATCTAGAAACACAACCCCAGGTTTCCTATGGCCGTAGGTTCACCGTCTGTAAACACCGAAGCCCAGCATCTTGAATAAATAGGTCTGGAATATGCCCCTTAACGAAGATGTATTCTACCAGAAAGATGTTAAATGAAGGAAACAAAATGGTCGCAGAGGCCTTCGGGTGGGATGGGAAGGGAGGAGGCAGGGAAAGGCACTGCTGGCAGAAGTCAAAATGCATCACCAAAAGTACAAATGGCTTCAAAACAGACCACAGTGAGGACCCTCTGCTCTTAAAAGATAAGCCAGGATTCTTAGAGTAATACAAAAACACTACACAAAGTTCCTCTGAAAAGAAAGTTCAGCTCTGCTGGCCTTGCTGGAAAACAACCCTCAGAAATGGCCGCACATGATGGAGTTGATGGTTTCTATATGTACTGTTTAGCTTAAGTCATTCTACGTAAGACTCCGTGCCCACACCAGCGCTGACTTGTTTCTGCCTTTCCAGATGCACCAACTTGCTCCTGAGTAAACACCCGCAGAGTTTGTACGCCGCATGGCAACAGCCAGCTCATCCTCTCCTGGACACGTTCACAGTAAGTGTATGGGGTATAACTGCTTTTAAATATGCTCTTGCTAGGATGTGCCAAGAGATCATCTCTGCAAGAAGGAAATGGGGCTGGAAGAGACTTATTTTGGTGTCATAACTGAGTAAGTTCATGAAATCCAAAGTTGCACCTGAAATAGCGTCACGTAAACACTCCTTAAAAACCCAAGACAAGTCTGCACCAGCTCTACCAGATGTAAAAAACCTCCTATTTACCAGGCACAGATCCAAGGGAAGGCTCCGAAAGAGGAACGCATTCTGAAACAAGCACGTGCATGCTGCAGCCTAGCCTCTTTTTGTAGATCATCAAACTCTGAGAGCTACCGCTGCTGGAAGAACACTGGAAGATGGCTACAGACCCATCTACCGTGGAGAAGCACTGGGAGATGGCTTGACCCACAGACATGGAGAAGTGTTGGGAGATGGAGGACCCACAGACCATGGAGAAGCGCTGGGAGATGGAGGACCCACAGACATGGAGAAGCGTTGGGAGATGGAGGACCCACAGACATGGAGAAGCGTTGGGAGATGGAGGACCCACAGACCATGGAGAAGCGTTGGGAGATGGAGGACCCACAGACCATGGAGAAGCGTTGGGAGATGGCTGCAGAACCACTTGTGCCAGCGCTGAAGCACCGTGCTCTCGCTACACGCAGCTTGTGAGCGCCCTGTGGCACGTGCCTGAGGTCAGACACATCTGTGGAGACCTGACAGACAGGCTGTCCTGGTTTCAGCTGGGATAGAGTTAATTTTTCTTCATGCTGGCTAGAATAAGTGCTGTGAATTCAGTACAGGATCTGGTATGAGAAGAATGCTGATAACACACTGATGTTTTCAGTTGTTGCTAAGAGATCAAGGTCTCTCCAATTCCCCATGTCCTGTCCCTGTGCAGGTGCTCGCGGAGCTGCGAGGGGGCACAGCCAGAGCACTGGCACGGAATCAGCCGAAGGAATATTCGCTATCACGTAACGTCACGCTCAGTATATAAAGGAGGGGTGGCTGGGAAGGAGGGGGGCTCTCTCTTGCTTCTGGGATTGTGACTGCAGGATCCCGGTATTTGGGGATGGCTGGTTGGGAAGAGGCTGGGTATCAGTCAGCAGGCGGTGAGCAGTCACACTGTGCATCACCCCTCTGTACCTTCGGTTGTTGTTACTGGTTTATTTTCTTACAATGACTAAACTGTTTGTTCTCCCAACCTACCAGTCTCCCTTTCTCCCTCCATCCCCCGGGCGGTGGGGGTGAGCGAGCGGCTGCATGGTGTCCAGCTGCCAGCCAAGTTCAAACCACCCCCTACCCGCACCCTGCCCCCCCGGGGGCGCTGCCGTGCTGCAGAGGCAGAGCCTCTCCGTGCTCTGTCCCGCGAGGCTGCGGGAGGCCTACGCGACGCCAACGCCCCGCGCTGCGCCCCGGGGACCCGCCGTCTGGGAAGGGGCCTTGCCAGCTCGCAGCAGCAGCCCGCGCATGGGAACGGCCTGCGAACACACATCAGTACTCGATGAGCTTTGAAGTTCAGCTCTGAAAAAAAATCTGGTCTTCATAATTCCAAAGGGAGGCTGTGTCTCATGTCTACGAGTAAGCATGAGTCTTTCAAGTGCTGCGCGTCCCATCTATTTATCATCTTTTTCAGTTATATTTTTGTTGGGAATATGTGGTGGCATACTCATCCAAAATGATGGGAAGGGGCGTGGATGGTATCTGTGGTTCAGACTTGCTATTTATACAGCATTTGGAGGTGGCTCTGTTATGCATCTGATGTGGATGCATCAAGATTTTTCTGAGCATTTCTTTTTTTTGCGCACGTGATCTATACCAGCCAGATTGATATCAAGTTCCTTTCCACAGCAGCCATTAGGTAGGTTTCCATGAAACACGAATTTGCCATCTCAGATCCGCTATTTAGAAGACCAGCAAAACAGATAAATGGGAACATAAGGTTAAACTTGGCCCAACTAAAAAGAACTACAAACTTCATTTCAGAAGCCATAAAACCAACTGGAATGCTTGGGATTAAATCCAACACAAACAGCTTTCATTATTTCATCTTTGCAATCCAAATGTTGCTGCTGCCATCGAGTATGAAAACCAGAAGGCACATACACCAGTGTGCGCCTTTCCAGACCCACGGATCAGAATCTCCCTCTCCATTTCAATCAGTCACCGAGTCAAGCTAACGGCTCCCATTAGAAAAGTTTTGCACAAGGATACTTGAAGACTGCCAACATAAAATACACGTAGGTGTGTATACACACACGTATGTACTTCAGCACAGCATAACAACAGTCCCACGCCAGCCCACCCTCGGCCTTTCATTAGCAATCCTCATTGTCCGAGAGGAAAAAATAAGGACAGTGACACGCTGTTTGGCAGAGAACTAAATTTTAAGAAGATTCATGGCTCATTCACATGAATACGAACTTGTCGAGATGGTGAATAAGACAAATCTGGGGGGTGTGTGCCCTTTTCGTGCGCAGCATTAACACTCCTGAAGTCCTCTGAATGCCAAGGGCGGGCGACGTGCCTGGGCAGGCATAGGTGCATGGGGAAAAGCGCAGAGAAGCGGCAGCTGATGTTCCACCAGGCTTGGCTCCAAGATAAAAGAAAGGTGTGTTATTTACCATCAAAACAGCGGGTGGGACAAGCGAACAGGAGGCAAGAGGCTGACGGTCAAGCCAGTTTTTACTTCTGGAATTGCTGAGAGCGAGCAGAGTATGTTAATTATTCAAGGCTGAGCCACAGCAGAAGAGGAAGAATACATGGAAGGACAGAAGAGAAAAAAGCTGCTGCCAACCTGTGCTCAGCTTCCCAAGTGCTCAGATGTTCGAGAAAAGCAATTATTCAGTTCCTCCACGCATGTTAATCAAGAATCTCCAGAATTTCCCAACAATAAAAGGCAGAAATAGGTAGGTAGAAATTTTTGTCTTATTCAGCACCCAGAGATGAAGTTACCCATGCCAGGAGACTTCACTTGACAAGGACCATGCCAGAGCACCTCCTCATGGCATGCTCCAGATTAACCTTCCCTTCACAAACCTTGTAGATAACATCTAGATCATTTGGAGCCTGGTAAATCTCCTCTTAATATCAGCAGCTCAACCGCAGAGCGGCAACCTCACCAGTATCGCAGGACTATATTAAAAATCCTGCAGAAACAAGAGAGGTTTGTTTAGACGAGCATGTGTTCCAGGGATGGCCAACGAGGAGAAGACAGGCTCCTGCTGGGGTTCCCCGCTTGGAGTTTCTCGATGACTCTCCAGTGGCAGGGCTACGAGATGCTCTGAAGCAGGTCAGAGCCGGGACCCCCCCCACAGCGAGGGACTCCCCGATACCCATCTGAGCACCACCAGTACTTTTTTTTTTTTTTTTTCCACATTGGCATTCTACTGCCAGTCGTTCAGCACCCAGGATCTATTCCATGATTCACTTTAAAGTGTGATATTGGCAGAGGATATCTTCGCTCGCATTACAATAGTCTAAAAATAGAGAAGTTGTTTCAGAAGATGGCTCTGTGCCAGCTGCATACTAATACAGCTGTCTGGAGAGGAGCATATGCAAGCAAACAGAAGAAATGCTAGAATTATTTGCATTATACTTCCATGCTTCACTTGCTCTCTCAAATTACAAAACCTACCAAAGAGACCAAAATTAGATGAATTTGAACAGGAGTCTGCAGCGCTCAGCCATACAACTGTACACAATTACTTTCCAACTGCAGAGAAAACAGAAGTTATTCTCACTTACTAACATTTTAAGTTCACTCGACATAAAAAGAGAGAAGAAAACAGGGGTTTTTTTAGACTGAAAAACTGTAAAGGCCCCTCCATACTCTTACACCATCTGATAGAGGCATCATTGTCTAATGTCCAGCACAGCACAACCATCGCTTCGCACTCCTCAGGGATGTCGCTTCCTAGATGTCAACTCAATTTTAAGCAATTTTGGGTTTACTTTTCCACAAGGCAAAACCGAGGCAGGAAGAGCTGGGCTGTGAGGGCTCCTGAAGGCTGTGGCAGTCAGGGAGCCAGCAGCCTCCAGGTCCCTGCTCCAGCGAGGGACAGATACCACTGAATTATTTCTTGGCACGTAGGAGGTCGTGCTGCAAAGCAGCTCAGAGGGAAGGACTGAAGTTCCCTGTTAAGAACAGCGTAGCTTGCCAAATGCAAATGGCCCAGACCCATGGCAGCAGACCAGCCCAAAAAATAAATAAAACCCCCCAGAAATCCCCTCCAAGCTCACAGCACATCCTCCCACCCTTCTCTGAGGTATTCTGCCCATGAAAGCGCAGCAACAAGATGTGCCAACAAGCAACAAAAGCGAAGCAAGGATGAATTTTTAAAGTGAACCTGGCACGCACGGAACAGAGCTGACTGCTAACCCACTGAGGAGAGAGGGTTTAGGTGCCAGCCAGCCCATCCGAGCACGACCCCAGTGCTGCTCAGCAGGGGAAGGAGACACAGCTCCAGGGGCCGGCGCGGCCGCTCGTCCTGTCCGGGAACAGGGAGCGTCCTCCTGAGGGCAGATGCTGGTTTGGAGAATGGTCCTCCATGATCTAAAACCACCTTCATCACTCCCCTGCTAGCGCCTGGAGTTCCTCAAACCAGCGATGGGAACCAGACCTAACCGTGTGGGAACGGAGTAACGCTTCAGCTTTAAAAGAAGCCTTTTGTCCCCAGGGAATTTCTTATGGCTGGAAACCAGAGGATGGCCACTGCTCCTCGGGGGATGTAGCAAGGATGGACAGCAGCACAGTCTGGGTGAGGTACATGGTTGGACTATATGATCTTCCAGGTCTTTTCCAACCTTGATGAGCCTGTGATTCTATGAACAGGGTGTTTTGCACCACAGCAGGAGCAGGCCCAGCTCACAGGAGTCGCTGTCTCGTGAGCAGCACTAAGATATCCCATTGCAGCTTTGGTGATTGGCATACGGGCAGTTTTAAGATAACCTCCTCTCATTTCTCTGCCAGCCGCCTTTCTCTCTTCTGGAGAAGGTTTTTTAATAATTGAATGCACAATGCATCAAAAAAGGACAAGGACAGCTTGGGCACAGAAATAGCTTTTTTCCTCAGAGAAACAGCAAGTCTGAGTCTCTCCCAGCTTTCTGTGAAGGGTAAACACAAGAGACACAGCTCAGCTTCTGAACATCTGCATTTTAAAAACATTTCTAAACATCTGCATGACCGAAGTCCAGAGCAAGTTCCCAAGGTGAAGGCGATTAAGGCTGGTTCCTCCTCTGAAGGGTGCAGATCCCTTTCGGGATGCCCAGTGCCTGCGAGGCTGCGGCAGCTCTCCTGCCCCCGGGGGCACCTGCCCAGGGCTGCCCTTCCCCTCTGCCCCAAAACCCCCTCGCTGCTGGGATGAGGAGGGCCCACGTCGGGCTGTGAAGCACCCTGGCATCTCCCTACGGGCAGCCACCCCCTTGGAAAACCCGAGCCCGCAGACTCACAGTGGATGCATATTTTTGTTCTGTGCGTTGGCCCTTCTTAGGGATTGCAGGGGAAGCAATTTTTTGAGGAAAAAAAGCAGGGAGCAGTTTGAGATGTGGCTCAGCAGCACTGGGGAGCGGTGCTGAGCCCAGGACCTGCAGGGCCAGGGCTGACTTTATCATCGTCGGAGCACGCGGTGGGGTTTGGGAAGCCAGTGGAGATCAGGATGCTTCTCCAGGGAGACAGGCAGCCAGCTTCTTCGGGAGGAGAAGAGCATTTGCAGTTACCAGGCGGTGCTGCTTTCCTGGACAATCCGAGGCAGCTTCTAGCTGGTCATTCTGACAGCGACTGGCTGAGGCTTTCACAGCTGTGATGCCTTCCAGGAGCCGTCCCTGGTTTGGCACCGGCCCCTGCTGGCATTAACTACAGCAGGATGACTGCTGGCTTTGAGGTCTCTCAAAGCTAGACAGAGAAGAAACTGGAGTTGTCAATGTAAAAAAAGAAATGAGGATATTTCGCATCTTCAGCGTTGCCTCTTTTGAGGAGCCGATCTCAGTTACCTGATCAATGAAGCTCTAAACACAAAGTTAGCAGCAAGATAGACACACACATGCACAATTATTTTGGCTTAACAAGACTTATTTTTATTTAATCTGTTACGAGACACTCTAGCAAGCAAGAGATGTGTTACTCGCTAGTTTCTTAGATTTTACACTTAATTTACATCTGCCTTCAGCTTGGCACAAAGTGTAGGAAAACAGCATTTTAAAATACTTTCTTCAGTCAATGAAAGAAAACCTTCAAGATGTGCCAAGTAAGCTCACACCATAAGAAGTATTAATGTCCCTTGCCTCCAAATGTTTCTTATAAAGAAAAACCACCAGCAGCTACTGAACTGATAATGACCAGAAATGAGTCTTTCCCAGCTACAGCTCCCCCCCAAACCTTGCTTTTATTACCCTGAGGGTGGCCCAAGACAAGCTTTTCTGCTTTTAAATCTCAAAAAACGTTCCCACCTTTGAAGGACTTGGTCACCAAACAGCACAAACAATGACCTGAAGAAAAGGCTCTCTGCACTTGCCAGAGAAATTACTTGTCAAAAGCTTGTTTAGCATTTTAGCAACCTGCTCCCAGGTGCTCAGCCAGGCACTGACTCCAGCTCAGCGGTTTGACTTTAAAAGCCTCAGAACAAAGCGTTATTTCTCTAAACACAACCATCTATTGAAGTCTAAGAAGTCGAGACCTTAATAAAGTCACAAAGCTACTCTCTCTGTATTGCAGAGATAATTATAGGGATAAGAATACATATGTAAGCTTTATACAATCTCATTTTTCACTTATCTTAATGATGATACATTAAATAGCCAGGAAGGAACAGGTCCACACCGAGCAGGCAAGGCAGCAAAGGAAACATAGAGCTGTCACGAAAGCTTCAGCAGATCTACAGTGACCTGGCTGCGGTCCCTGGGGCGCAGGTGCCAGCTCCCCCTGCACCAGCACGTTGCTAATCCACATCCCCAGTTTCACAGACAAGTTTCGAAACCAGATTTGCTCCCTGAACCGATCCACCACATGGTTACACTAACACTAGAGCCAGACCGAGAGACAGGCTGCAGCCAGAGGAAGAGCTGCAGAAGCCCCAGTTCAGACCAGCCTGGAAAGTAAATTGTTTATTCATTGTTAGGTTATAGTTGTTAGAGAGGGGGATTTTTTTCCCCAAACACTTTAAAACATGCAAACACACATACAACTCTTCTTTCAGTAAGGGGCAGACCAGTCTTGCCCTTTCAGCTCCCAACATTATTTTGCAGATTTTCTGCAGTGTTATATTTGAGTTTGGGGGCTGGTGGGGTTTTTTTGGTTTGGTATCTTTTCACATATTTTATCTTCTTTTGGGTACTAAGGGTGAATCCCAGTAAGACAGCATCTTCCACAGTTCCTGTACCTATACAGTTTCTCAGTTCATCTCCACTGCCGTTTCAAGGCCAGAAGGTACTTTTCATCTGCATGTATCAAGTCCTAGCAAAAAACCACATCTCACAACAACTGAGGGAAGGTAGGGCAACTGCTTCAGTTCGCCAACAACCAACCCCAAACTGAAGAAGCTGAAGTTACTATTATGGCAAAGGCTCTGTAAATAAACATAAACTCTTCCATAACTGGTGCCGGATGGAGAACGGGTCTTTAAAAACTCAGACATGAGAACTCCTTCTTATGAGCTCCTCATGTAACTTACAGATCAGTTATTGCATTTACTAGTACTTTGGCTTGTGGTTTAGAAACTCATCACAAAAAAAGTGCTTGGCAAACACAGAGCAAAACGGCACGGCTTAGCACACTGGGAACTGGTAACCTGTACAGGACTCGATATAAAGGATTTTTGAGGCAGACACATTTATAAAAATTTTTTAAAAGACCTCCCAACATTGCTTCTGACAGAGCGAGACAGCCAAAGGAGAGCGCAGCAAGGTGATGCTGCTCCCGGCGCTGCGGTGGGACGCTGGCGCAGGCCCTGGCACCGCCCGGCCCAAGCACTGACCGGGCAGAGAGCTCGCCCGGCCCAGGCCAAGTCTCCTCTGAGGGGGCTGCGGGAGGCAGCTCGGGGCCAGGCTCACACAGAGCCAGCGTGAGGTGGGAACGTGTGGGAGCGGGAGGAAAGAAGCAGCCAAAAGGGTTGGGCTGTACAATCGGCTGCGAACCGTGGCTGTGCGCTCAGCACCCCGGAATATTTTGAAAAACCGTGTGAAACCCAGGAGCATATGCTGTGAAAGAGCATTGCTGGATTTAAACCAGCCTAGTTGCTGATGGTCTACGTGCTTTAACAGGGAACTCGCTCGTCATCTGCTTCGCTACGCGCTAGCGCAGCGAGAACAGCTCTCCCCGCAGAGACACACTGAACCGCTCGGTGCCGATTCCCACCTTCGGAGCAGGCTCCTGCACCCCCTCGCTGCAGCTACCATATGGTGCAAGATGAGAGCAACCTTGAGAGAAACGCCCTGGGAAAGGCAGACCACAGTCAGCACCTGACAAACAACAGAGCGTGACTTACTTAGGTCGTTGTCCATCTTGAAGGCGATGTCCAGCTGGATGATGAAAAGCATGAACTGGAACCAGGGGCTCATCTCCTTGCTGGGGAGGGGAATGTGCACAGCAAACACGATGTCGTTGGCTTCGATCTGCCGGCTCACCGCCTCGTCGAAGTCTTTGAGCTTCTCGCAGTGGTTGGGTCCCCAGGGCATCAGCCACTTGGTTTTGTGGTGGTTTTTTCTTACATCAATGCACTTCACTGACGTGTAAGGAACAGCTGTAGTGGGGCTGGGAGCTGTAAATGGAAAAGAACCACATTTTTAGCATCTTTAGATACCTTATATAGTGGTTTCCCCACCAAAATATGCAGCTCCCCATTCAACTATTTGAAGGCAATTTAAAACAAATGCATCAAATGATTCTCCTTCACAGCTCCTTGATCCTGCAGTTAAGTAATTAAGTTTATTACATCTACAGACGTATTACTGACTTTGTAGTGGGATCAAATTAGATTAGCTGAAGCAGCTGGAATCTGCCGGTTCAGTCTCAGATACCTCAGTCACACCAGAATCATACTGTTACTGGCATCTTCCTCTGTGCATACACCCTTCGAGTTTGCTCACTCGAGCAAATCCACGTGCAAAGCGTGGGCCCATATCACAAACCTAGACGGATGAACTAAGCCTCAACCTCGTGGTCCTGCAAAGCAGGGCAGGGCTTACAGCAGTGATTTGAACCCCGCACAGCCCGCACGTTTCCTTGGGCAGGAAGGCTCTTAAGACTCCTTGGTAATGGGAGAGGGCAGCACCACTTTGCATCTAACCCAGCCCAGGGCCATCACCAGCCTCCGGTGCTTGCAAGCTCGCTGCGGGAGCCGTCTCGGCCCCGCCAAAGCTCCCTACGTGGAAAACACGGGGTAAACCAGCCACCGCCGCCATGCGCCGAGGATCCTCGCACGCCCACTGCTGCTAACTGGAGAGAAACGTTTTGCATATGAAGGTATTCCTTCCTTTTACTGTAAGGCAGGTGTGAACTAACAGACGTTAGATATGTGTTTTTCCCCTAGCCACCATTTTTTTGAGATATTGGGAGGAATAAAAAGCTGAATCTTGGCTCTAAAACGCTCCCCAAACTCTGCACTGCCCCCATCGTCACAGCGAGTGATGAGGCTTTGTGCACGTGCACAAGATACAATGAAAATGGGTATCAGGACCCTGATAACTTCCCAGACAATTAAATGGAGGAGTGTACTACTCCGGCTTTACACTGGTAAGGAAACAGTCCAACCTGGAAGTACAAATAGGGATTGAAAGCAGAAAAGAAACGCATTCCACCTTCAGCCAGAATTTCACCATAAAACACCTCCAAAACTGAGAGAAAGGCTTTTAAAAACTCAAAATACATTTCCAACGTAGTTCTGCCACGCAAAGCCTTCTTACGACAGCACTTCTACCCTGTTTTCCAATATCATTTGGGAAATAAATATTTTAATACTATTTTAATGCATCACAGAACTGGCAAACCACAGAGACAAGCAGAGCCCGAGCTGCTCCAGTTCCTCATCTCCCCAGTACGATCCAAGGGGTTTCCATGGGTCACAGCATCCAGAAGGTCGATAATTTCCACGTCCCTTATGGATTTATTCCCCTTTTTTTCACAGGAAGAAGAATTTTTTTGCACAACAGGCAGCTCGCATTTTGACACCCAATACATTTCACTGCAATTAAACCAGAACTTGCCCTATTTTCTGCAGTATTACCAGGAAGGTACTATTGGACATGCTGTAATGAATTTCTTCCAGCTTCACAGGTTTTGCGAAGTAGATGGAGCAGGTTAACTCTTTTTGAGCTGTTAAAAGAGTGTTCTCGATATCTGTTTTCACTAGAATTTGAAGAAAATAAAGTTACGTAATACAAGTTTGTGAAATTATGTTTATGAAAACCCCCAAACTCTCCAGCCCTTTTAAAAATTAAAATAAGGCTTGAAATGCAAAACTTTAAGTGCAAGTTTTAACCTATAATAATGTAAAAATGCTCTAATGCAAGCGATAAGCATTGAAATGTCCCTACACTCTGAATTCAAACAGAAGTAGCACATAGAATAACAGATATCCAGGCACAGAGAATAACAGGTGAAAGTCTTCAGAGAAAAGATGCCAAGGTGGTCAGGTAAGACTGGGGCTAAGGGGGCCAGTCCCCAGGCAGGTGGTTATTTTCACGTTGTCACCATCCTCATTCTGACAGAAGGTCCAGGACTTCCTGAGCACATCACAGCCCCCCCCGCTCCAAAGCTCCATCAGCAAGCACTAACACCATACTTACAAATTTCCAAGTATTTCTATAAGGAAAACAAACCAAAAGTGAGCAACACCCACTCAGCCACCCCCATCCCTGACCGGGGCAGAGCCAGCTCAGGGTCCCCCGGGCTCAGCACGCCGACATCCACCCGCACTACACCCAGATGATTCAGACCTGCCTCCCTTGTAATTTGGACGCAGCATCACAACAGCAGCTCTATTGGTTTTTGGGATCCAAGCCAGGAACCCTGCGTAGCATCTTCCCCAACGTGCCACCTCATTAGAAAGATGACATCCGCACTCCTTCCTACAGGCAGGGGAGAGATGACTCAACGTGCGAGTCGGGAGGAAGTTATTGAAAAGCAGTTGTTTATAAACTGCTTTTTTTTTTTTCAATTTCTTGACAGCAATAAGTTTCTTCTAGCTGAAAAGTAGCAGCGATGCTGGCGTAAAGGGTGGGCTGCAAGGGATTTGCTCAAGCAGGAATACTCCCAAATCCATACCTGCTCTCACTAGCAACCCACAGCCTAAGTGAGCACAGATACACGGTGCTGCTGCACCTCAAACCAGCGTGCAGCCAGCAGTCCCCCAGCAACCACAGACAGCCCCCCGAAAAGAGCAAGTCATTGATAACGCCAAAAAGAAACAGCAAAAGAGAATAAAATAAAGCACTCAAACAAAATCTAGCTGCGAATGCAGGATTACGGAACACTTTAACGACGTGCCATAAGCGCATAAACCGGTGCAACACTCCTTTATCATGCCCTGACGTGGAACCCTGTAACCATGACTAAAGTCATGTAAGTGAGTATTAGGAATATTGCTGAGAAATAAGTCAGACGTTCAGGCCAAGCTCTCAGAGCCTTGACAGGTCTTTGTGTGATTTAAAAGTAGGCATTTCCGAATTAAAAGACATTGTTACTTCTACGTTGAAGATGAGTGTTTCTTGCTTTGATGCAACTCATTATAGCCATAAATACATGTTTTCATCACTGACTGATTATGATTTTAAATACTTGGCATGCTCACTGAAGTATCCCCTCTGCCAAAGTTACAGCTTTGAGGAGCAAGAGACAATTGCTATATATATTCCTTGTTGGGAACTGCACACCAAACAAACGTCGGCGCTTGGCTTCCATTACTTATTTGGCTCCACTCCCATTAAATTCAAGTGAGTGTTGAACCAAGTGGAAAAAAAATGCTTTGTGAAACTGCAGCCAAGTCAACTAACAGTATTACAAAGTGCTATGCAAAACAAAGCTAGCATCGAGGGATTTCAGTTAAAGTGCGGTGCCAAGCAGGCTGCTTTCAGCCCTTCTGCCTGTGGGCTGGTAGATGCTTCAGCTTTATGTATTAAATGATATATGCCAGTCTGTAAATAATTAAATAGACGTTTGTGCATAATCCAGTGGATGAGCCTCAGCCCGTGTCCCAGCCTGCTGGCTGTGCCAGCGCAGGTGCCATTTGGAGGGATGAGCGGAGCGACCAGGGACCTGGGCTCTGATCAGGGGGGTTCTGCAGAAGGCAGTCAGAAGCGTGGCTCTCTGGGAGCCAGCTCAAACAGGAACCAGCCCAGCCCGAGTTTAGGGCTGCCTGGGGAGCCCCCGGGAAGGAGCCCGGGCTCCAGGAGCAGGCATCGGGCAGACAACCCTCGTGCCAAGGCGTTCGACCCCTGGGGTGCTGGGTGCCAAGAGCCATAGGCATGAGGCTGCCGGAGCTGCCAACGCTGTCAGCAGAGGCTTCCAACCCCCCTACTTACAGAGAAAAAACTTCCCACAGACGAGTTTAGAGACGGGATGATTCACAGCAAATGCTGTCAGAGCAACAGCCAGGATCTCCAAGCAGCCGGCGTGCCTGTGCCCATGGGAAGGGGGCAGGAGGTGACTGTCACCACCAGAGCCCCCCTTAGCTCCGGTGGGACAAACCTGCATTACATCTTCCTGAAAAACCCAGGCCAGCACACACACGAAGATAAAACCAACACGGTCTGAGCAACCTCTCTTCTCCAGTTCACGAGTTTTCATAATAGTTTGGGGAGCGAACACAGTTTAGCCTCTCTGAGCCCTGTTTGCATATACGCTGTAAACACATTTGTCTTAAAGGTATGTGGCGACCAGCTGGCTGCCCACTCCATCCAAGAGGCTGCAGAGGTGCCCGCCTCGCTGCAAAAGCCCCAAGGGTACCCCAAATTCCGCGGGTCACAGCAGACCTGCCACAGCAGCACAGCTCCTTGCAGCAGCGTTCGCAGGCGAGCCCGTTTTTTTTTTTCAGCAGCGCGGTCCCCACTTCCCAGGGAAGACTTCTGATGAACTTCCAAAGCCATTTCAGCTGTCTTACAGATTGAAGCAACCCTTGCATGCCATTTCCAGCAAGGCCTTCAGTGAGACTTTTCTCACTGAAAATAGCCTATAGCCAATTGGCTCAAGCACATGGATTTTCTCAAGTTATGTCCCCAGGAAACAGCAGCGGTTAAAAGGGAGACAGACATTCACAGCTGAGGGGGGAACTGAAGTTGAATTGCTTTCAGTTTTGAATGATCCAAAACTCTCGTGTGAAAACTCTCCAGTCTCCTGTTAAACTGGTAGCAGTGTTTCACCCAAAACTAAGACAACGACGGTGTTATAAAATAACTCCAAATATGAGGGTTTGAAGGAAATATCTCAGTTTATATATCTACTGGTCAGAGAGGTCAACGATCTTACGACCTCACGTGGCAAAAGATGCCGCAATTTGGTTTCTCAGTACTGATGACCATCCCCGTTGCCAAGACAGAAAGGATTTCTCTCCTGCATCTCAACTGGAATCAAAATTCTTTCACTTCATGTAGACTAAACACAGCATGAGTGGAGGCAGAGATGATTCCTCACACGGACGGGATGCCCCAAACCATCCAACGCTCCTTCTGCCCCCTCTATAACCTCCATAGCAAAACCCTACAGCGTTTGCTGAAGAAACTGAGCATCCTGCCCCAAATACCCACCAAAATGGTAAACCTGGGG